TTCAGTTCAAGAAATGTGGAAATCTTTTTGGCTCCTAAAGCTGGGGTCTGAAAAAGGGATCAATTTGTATTGCTGTCCCATTTCTAAGAAAGACCAACTTTGGGAAGGGAATGATGCAAATATATGACTTCCATGTCTAAGATTCATTCTGATTTTCTAATTCTAAATGCTATGGTGATATTCTACATTCCTTATGTCAAGTAAATAAATGAAAGATCTACATGAATATAAAAATATATGTATAAATATATGTACATACACACATACTATTTCAGGGAGCAAACACAATTTCCCCATGCTCAGTTTGATCCCATTTCATCTTGATGGACATTGTTTATGCTATGGTTGGCTGGTTGGCACAGTTATTTCTACTTCTTCCCCAGAGCAGAAAGGGGCAAAATAATTATTGGGGGGGGGGAGGGAAAGAATCAATAAACAAATGCAGAGTTTCTTTAGCTGAAAATCATACAGGCTATCTGCTGGAGGATCATGGGTCTTTCTTAATTATAAACTTCATGAATTTCTCTCAGGAAACCTGGAGGTCATAGGTCATCTATACTCTAGCAGAAATTTTGGGAAAGCTTAATTGATATCTGGAATGGATTCTGCACATCTAGCAGTGATTAGAATTCTGATCTGATTTGTTCCAAAAGTTCTGGTTTTAAATTCCTACTACGCCCTAAAATTCGCATCATTCTTTCTCTAAATTTTTCCATTCATTGCTGTATATGACTATAAGAATCCATATATCTGAACAATATTAACAGTACCTCTTTTATCTCTTCGTATGTTATTGGCAGGACATTTTCTTTATCAATATACTTGTTCCATGTACAAAGATACTCTATATAGGATCCCCAGGGAACTATTGAAATTTTTAAAAAAATAAGAACATGTTAGAACAACATTGATAGCTGACATAAAGATGTATATGACTCATTGAAAATTTCAGCTGATCTCTGAATATCAGCTCTACAGAGTTTATCTTCTTCCAGTCCTTTTTCCTTAGTTCTAATGTCCGTGAATATTGCTATTATCTAGAAAAATTACTCTTTTCTTTTTAATTATGCCAGGTATGATGTTTGTTAGTTAGTAATCAATTTATATATGAAAATCACATACAAATTAACATCATTGGTAGTGTTTAATTTTATGATCATGCCACATTTAGAAAACTGAGAAATTATAGTTTTGCATAGATGCCAATGTATTGTAGTTCTTACACAGTTCTGACATGGTTTATAATCTGAGCATAAATAAGCATATACAAGCAATAAAAGTTAATTGGAAAATTAATATGATTATTATTATTCCATCTAAATAACACTCTCGGGATATATTTATTTTTGCTAAATATTTGTAACTAGATTTAAGCCAAAATAATAAATGTATATCTTTCTTTTTTCATTTGGCCTACACATAACAATGGCTTTACATGAAATTACACTAGCTGCCAGATGTTATAATGAAAGACCTTGAAAAACTGAATTACAATTTTGGAAATATCAGTAGCAATAGCACTTAGACTTATACCATGGCTCATCTACTTATCTGGGCCTCTCAAATGGGAAAAGGCCAACATACAGAATGAATGAATGAGTGAGTGACTGAATGAATGAAAGAAGACATTTTTCTGCTATTCTATTGATTTATTAGTTGGATATATAATTAGAATGAAATACCTTGAAAAACTGAATTACAATTTGGGAAATAGCAGTAGCAATAGCACTTAGACTTATATACCGCTTCACAGTGCTTTACAGCACTCTCTAAGTGGTTTACAGAGTCAGCATATTTCCCCCAACAATCTGGTTTCTCATTGGTACCGACCTCGGAAGAATGGAAGGGCTGAGTCAACCTTGAGCTGGTCAGGATCGAACTGCTGGCAGTGAGCAGTGAGTTAACCACTGCATCACCATGGCTCATGTACTTCTCTGGGACTCTCAAATGGAAAAGGGCCAGCATACAGAATGAGTGAGTGAGTGAATGAACGAACAAATGAATGAAAATATTTTTCTGCTATTCTATTGATTTATTAGTTGGATTTATATTCTGCCTTTTATGCAGATGCTCAAGGCTGCATACATAGAACACCTTCTTATTTTTTTTCCTACAATAATAACTCTGGGAAGGAGGCTCAACTCAGGCAATGAGAAATATTTGTTCCTCTTTTCAATTATTATTTGTTCCTATATCAGAAAAGGAATTTGTTCATAGGATTAACTATTATTTATTGAAATAAGCTGAGAACCTGAACTTGAATTTGAAGTATCTCTGCTTGAACAAAGCATACACTAATCAATAAGAAATAATAATAAAGCTAGACAGCTACTATGTTCTTCATATCTACAGACATTAATAATAGGAATGAATAGAAATTCTACTTTTTCCTATCATCAAAGCTCGGAAGAACTCTTCAAATGTATCATAGGGAGGAGTAGGACTGAAGTTCTTTGAAAAATGGAAAAAAGATACAGCAACATCTTTTGGATTTCGAATCAGCATCAGTACCTAAAAACCAAAAAAACATTAGGATATCAAATAAAATAGCATAGATTACATTTCCAAAATGCACCAGATTCTCTGAAAATTATCCTAAACTACTTTTTATCACTGAAATCTTACATACACTTGCCTGTACCAGAAACAGAATCACATTCATTCCATGGTATCTTACTGTACATTAATGCAAAGATGTTAGGGAACAGAATGGCCTAGGGCAGGAGTATCAAACATCATTTCATTGAGGGCTGCATCAGGGTTATATTTGACCTTTGGGGCCAGGGTGGGCATGGCCAGGGTGACTGTGGCCAGTTTGATGTCACTCCTGTGGAGGGCGCCAGTGATAGCCTAAGCCCCATTTTCGGCTGCCAGCCTTCTGCAATCCTCTGCCAGTGTAAACAGAGCTCGGGAGGGCTCGTTTTCACTGGCAGAGGGTTGCAGGAGGCTATGGCAGCCGAAAACAGAGCTCGGGAGCACATTTTCACTGGCAGAAGCACTGTGGGCCAATCCTTCGCAGTCCAAATCTAAGTACCCTGCAGGTTGAATCTGGCCCCAGATCTTGAGTTTGACACCCCTGGCCTAGTGAAGCAATATATTTCCAGATTAAGTGGGTGGATGGAAAAAATGGATGTTTTAGAAAGTAGTTCCACCTTGTCTTCTTCTCAGGGCTGACCAGCCCAAAGTCACCCAATTGGCTTTATATCTCATTTAACTCGATGCCTTAATTACTACACCAAATTTGCTATCTAGTTAGTATGGAATCTCCATTTCAAATCTATTTACAGTTATTTCCCGAAATGATGTCTCTGAATTACTAAAGGGCAGAGCTTTCATTTGGAAACAGTCATATTCTGGAAATGCAATTGATCTGCACTGCAGTAATTACAATTATCCAAATTTAAAGGAGTGATCAACAAATAGCTATGGTAAACACAGCTATTGTACTGTTGTAACGTTTACTATTGTGCTACCCAGTCATCCATTTGTGTGGTGCATAATGATTATTATATTAAGCATGCTCTTGCTTATCTTATTCTCAATGATTTACTGTTCAAAACTAACTTTATCCATATAGAAATACTCATTGAATTTTATCAATATTGTTACACATTTATGAGCATTAAATGGGTACTTACTTTGGCTTTGTTCTTGAAAATAGATGGTGGGAATCTATCAGGACGGAGATGAGTAAACATCACTCTCCTGGAAGGATAAGTATCCATCCTCTTCAATAAATAATAAATAAAATAAAATAAAACCAATCAATTATCAACTTCCAGAATTCTTCAGTCAGCATGAGAAACACCAGATTAGATTATTCAGGTTGGAATAATTATTGGACACTACTTAAATTCAAGCTTTCAAAGTCACAAAAGTTATGTTTCCCTTTACAGTCATCCACCCCACAATCATAAAATAAGAAATTGCTTGGAAATAAGTTTGTTGAACTCAAATATCACACCTGGTTTTGCAGGACAAAAAAATCTAGGTAAATATAATCCAAAGTATGATCTAAACTCGGCTAGGCTAGGCTAGGCAAGAAGAGATGAGACAAGACTAATAACATTACATTTCAAATAGTTTTCCTCAATAGTAACACACTTACTGGTCAGTGGATTGGTTAATGTATCAACCAAGTTCAATTTTACCTCTTCAAAGACTGAATCGTGAAGAATCAACCCAGATGTCTCTCATCAAACATAATCTGACTGACTAATTTTATTCTGGGGACACCCTGAAAAAATACTCAATAATTTACCTCTATTGCTGTTTTAAAATATGGTCTGATGAAAATTTACCACCATTGAGTAGTTGATGTCTGCATAATTAATACTAACCTTATACTTTTCAGTATCTCCTATTTCGAGATATGGAAATTCCGCTAGGAGAAGTTTTTCATCCAACTTCTCTGGTTCATATTTCTTTGCAGATGTTATTACTAAATCAGTAACAATCTGGCCATCCCAGTTGGTACCTGGGGGAGGGGGACAAAATTAAATCAATTTATAGTACCATATGTACTTGTGTAATAAAAACATAAAAGTAATACCAATCAATTTACAATTGAAACGCTGTGAAAAAGGTTCCACCACAAAACCGCAATGCCCTTATCCATGCTGACATAAGCGTGGAGGCAAATCCGCGGCGTCTGAAGCGCTAAGAAAAAAACGACCCTACCGCCACGACAACAGCGCGGCGACAGAAGGGCGTTCTACATGCTTCGTTCTTTGCTTCCAAAGGTAGCCCTCCTTCTCCAGCTGACAGCGGCAGCGGGCACGGGGCAAAGGGGGCGGGAAGGGTCCAGCACAGCCGCAGGGGACAGCAAGAAGCCTGCGGGAGGGCTGAGTGGGGCTGCCGACGCCAGTGGCGGAGGAGGACGCAGCAGCAGCGGCGGCGGAGGCTCTCCCAGGGCCGGCGAAGCAGGCTTGCCCAGCGGGGGCAGGCCGCCCTCTTCTTCCTCAACAACATCTCCTTGGACGG